CCCAAAAAAAAAAAAAAAAAAAAGGGCTTAGGCTTTATGTTTTGAAAACCGGTTTCCCGGTTCACCCCCCCGGGGCTGGTCCAGCTCCAGTTCGACCGGGCAAGCTGAACCGGCCGGTTGCCGGCCCAGCCCTGCTTTTGTTTTGTATTCATAAAAAAAAAAAAATCATAACTGCCATTCGGCCATAGACGGCCTGCAATTTCAATCAAGGATATGCAAGTCATGCAAAACAGCAGCTTCTTATAATCTCCGGCGCTTCAAGGCTGGCGCATATTGAAAAGGTCGACACCAGACAAGAAAGTTATTAGCTCTAAGAGGTTCAACTTCCGTCACGAAAACAGAACTTCGGAGCACGGTTACAATCCAGACATCTAGATCCCAGTCCAGACCGTCCAGTTCTAAATGCCCAGCCACATATCCAGTCCAGTACGTCCAGAAGGGGGCAAAAAAAGAAAAAGGTGGTTAAAAGCCGACCCGCCCAAAAAATGTTTTGGGTGCTGTGAACCTCTTTTTTTTTTTTTTTTTTTTTTTTTTAATTTTAACCGGGCCCGGTGCCCAAGGCTGATATTACCAATAATAAGATTGAGGCCGGGGTCCTCACAATCTGCCCGGAGTGATCGAACCGAAACTGCTGAGAACCGGGCTCAGCGTCCCTCAAATGGATATGATGATGACCATGATGATAATGATGCTAATGAGAATGATGATTCAAATATATGAAAAAATATAGAAGATTATGCTATATCAGCTATTCTGGCCTCCTAATCCTAGTACAACTCTTAGCCCTCCCTGTACCAGGACATTGTGCCTCAGAGACAAAACCAACCTAACCAACATCAACCATAGCTGATCTCTTCTCGCCTCCTTGCAGCCCCCCCCGGTTCGCCACTGGAATGCCTTCCACCCTCAGCAAGCCCACAGATCTCTCTACAAGGCCTCACACTCCTGCCATTTACAGGTTACAGGGCAACGCCCCAGCTCCGGCCAGCGTCGTTCTGGCATCGGCAAACCAAGGGCACAGAACAGAGCAACTCAGTAGATATCAGTCCAGGATCAACCATCTCTGAAGTCCTATATCCCGGATGTGGAAGAATGCTAGATGCTGCCAAAATTTCAGAACACCAAAAAGCTTAATATAACAATAATCAGATGATGATACTGATGATGTGATGACGATGATGATGATGATGATGATGATGAGTATGATGATTATGATTTTTTTATTTTTTTTTAATGATGATAATAATGATGATGATGATGATTAGTATGTAAAATTATAGAGGACTATGCTATATCAGCAATTCTAGCCTCCTAATCCTATAACAACTCCTAACCCTCCCTGTACCAGGACATTACATCTCAAAGACAATGCCATCCTAACCAATGTCAACCATAGCTGACCTTTTCTCGCCACCTAGACTATCCCTGGACCCATAGGTTGTCAAGGCAGCCCCCCCCAGTTCGCCACTGAATTGCTTTCCTCCCTCAGCAAAACCCAGATCTCTCTACAAGGCCTCACACTCCTGCAATTTGCAGATTACAGGGCAACACCCCAGCTCCGGTCAACGTCGTTCTGGCATCGGCAAACCAGAGGCATAGAACAGAGCAACTCTGCAGAAATCAGTCCAGATTCGACCATCTCTGAAATCCTATATCCCGAATGAGGAAGAAGGCCAGATGCCGCCAAGAATTACCTAACACCAAAAAGCTTGATATAGCATCGATGAAGACTGTGGATTTTTTTTTTTTTTTATATAATAAAGATACGTTAATTTAAACTTTGAAAGTCTCCTCCCCTCCCTCCTCTACTCATTACCCCTCTGTCCCTTCGTTGCCTCCGCCGAAAACAGTCCTCCAATGTAGGACCTCCTTTTCAGCCCCAACTTGGAACAGCCC